CAGCAGTTAGAGGGTTTTCACAGTATTTATCTTAAGACCTTGATGTAATGAATTGCAATACTGAAAGTTAATAAGCTTATGTACTTGGATCATGATTTCTAGACCTTTCTAAGAAAAGAGGGCTCAATCTTCAATCTGATCAGTGGCAAATAGAAAGATGCGTGCTTTAGATGCAAGAGTACAACACCAAGATAAGACAGCTGGATCATTCCCTCAACAGAGACCCTTTGGAAATAAGGCCTAAATTCATATCTCAATAAGTTAAACAGTTAAATTACAGTATTAGCTTTTTTAATGAAATACTTTGTTAAAGGAATAAAACAGGATAGAATCAATTTTATTGCTCTATCATGCCTCTAAACCGATTGCAGCTGTAATAAAATTAGGGATCCCATTTCATTTAAAGCAACGAAAGTAATTTTATTTACTTTTTTCAGTCACGCCCCCACACAAGTGCATGCACAGAGCAATCAGCCACTGCACTTGTTAGCTTGCTGATTAAATACTTTGTCACTTAATGCTGCACTAATTAAAGAGAATTGAAGCTGCCTGTGCATCAGCTAACACGGCATTAACTTAAACTGAAATCCCTACACTTCATTCATTTCTTCTGTGCAGAGCCTGAGGAAGGAAGACCCATTCTGCTTTTTTTCAGTCAGTAATTCCAATACATCCATCCCCAGCTGCTGAGATTTCTTTGCCCAATAACTTTTGATGGCTGTACTAAGCCAATAAAATTTCCTTGTACCTGCAGTCTTGCTGGCTTTGTGACCCACAAGTGCTGAGTGTGAAAGTGCAGTGGTGAAAGCCAAAGAGATGCTGAGCCCTGTGGCTCCAGCTCCTGCCTGACACACACCATGGGGTCAGAGGACAGACCCTCCTATAACTGCCTCCTGAAAGTGTTTGCTTGGCCAAATAATTTATGACTGTTAGAACTTGCTCAAAGTCCCACCCCAGACCTCTGCTAATTGTGAAATTCACACCTATGTTTTTTAAGGGGCCTGGAAACTAATTAATAAGATTCCCAAGTCTTTACATTTCAAAGGTCATGATTTCTAAGCCAACATCACCATTCCTGAGAGTGTGACTCCCCAGTTTCAAATTCTGTCACCAAAACAGAATTACAGACAAGGAAAAACATACAGATCAGGAAAAGCCTCCTCATTGCAAAGTTAACCACATTAAACATATGAGTTAGTTCTCTCCTCTGCAAATGATATGCACTGAGCTGAAAAATGAAGTGCAGATTGATTAGCTGTGTAGGTGTGTGTCTGTGTTTGTAGTTCATGGAGCTGATCACTTAATCTAAACTGACACTTAGACTATACATGTTTCACCATCACGTTTTTTTTGGAATATAACCAAACAGATGGTGCATGAACATCACAATATAGTCACAAGTTCCCAGAAGGAGTTAACAATTTTTTTTTTTTTAGAATGGCAGCTCATTATATATCATAACTAAGGTTGTATCCCATTTCCCTATAAACTGTGATTTTCAAGGGTTTACGATGTAACCATGAAAATTCATTCAGGCTAGAAAAATAGCCTGAAACCAAGAACTCAGTTTTTGTTGAGAAATGTCAAGCAAGCTATCCCACCATCACACAGTTTTCTTTTTTTTAAACTCTCCCCATGCATTCTTAAATACTGGGAAAGGAGGGAAGGGAGAGCTCCTAAAATTAGGTTCTTTAAATAAGGTAAATAACTTCTAATTTTATGCCAAATTTTAAAGCATAACAGTTTTTTATTATATTTCTGTATGTTATAAACCAACAAAAGCTGGGAAGCTCAAAATAAAGAAAAACACTATTTCCTGATCATAGCATTTTTTTTTAAAGTCTCAATTGGAGGGACTTTAGACTCCAGAAATCAGTCTTTTAAAACATTCATATAGATTGTGCACACCAAGGTTGGTTTCTCCATGCCATTTCAAATATTTTGGTCACTGCCTCCAGAATATTTATAAGCATCAGCAAAAAATCAAAGGGATTTCATCAAGATCAGTCTTACCAGTACTGTCAGGCTGTAGAAGCATCATCTTGCTCCTGCTACAAGATGGGTTAACTCCACTTTGGTTTCACCTTCCTCTCACAGGGGAAAACAAAAGCAGAATAAGGTCTAGAAAAGGCAAATATGAGCCTTTCCTTTTAAATTTATGGTCACACTTGCAAAATTCAGTTTGGAGCTTTTTTGGAGGTAAGGTCAGTTTTCTGCATACAGACACATGTATATGTGCCTTTTTTTATTGCAGCTTGTTTTAAAAATATCAAGCATGCCCTGCAGAGCATCCCTCCATGCCTATCTCTGTGTTTCACTCAAATCCATAATTCTGTGGCTCACACTGTTATCCTTAGAATTTTTGGTCCTATATAAGGTGGGTCATTTCCAGCTCCAGACTTGTTCTCCTTACTTCCACAAGCCAAGCTGTATTTTATTTCTTTCTTGGAAGAGCTACAGGTTAGACAGCAGATGAGATGACAGAGAAAACAAAACCACGCAGCATTTCAGAGCTGCCTCCCTATCATTGCATTCTCTGTCTCTCCAGTTTTGATCTCCTTCAGGTTCTTTGTCATTTCTCTTACAGCTGGGTGTGTTTTTTCTTTCTCTGAGTCTGTAAAATGGGGCTTCTCTATAAAACTCCTCAGAAACCCCAGAAAGTAATTCCCCATGCACATTGTATAGCTGTGCTTTGGAAGAAGGGCCCACGATGGCCTGGCTGTGCCAGCACTGTGCCAGTCCCTGTCATGCCCAGCCCAGCCAGGCCTCTGACCTGCCCCTGGGCAGCACTGCTGGTGCCAGCCCCAGTCTGCCCACATGGCAGCTGGGCACAGGGAGCTGGGGCAGCCAGGGAAATCACTGGGGTGGGGGAAGGCCAACTGCAGCAAATTCTCCTGGCTACAGAACAGAATTACCTGCAGTGGGAGGCCTGGGACACGTCACCCGCTCTGCTGGGACACAGCTCAGTGCTGCATGCAGGCTGCAGCTGACTCACTTTGCTGTGCCTGGATACAGCATGCACTTCCAGACACCTCTGCAGGCACGGATCAGGAACACGAGCGGGATAAAAGCCACTGGAGTGTACAGACAGGACTAACTGGCCCACAAACAGACAAAACCAAGGGAAAATATCACCACAGTCTGGTGCCCTTGGCCTCCTGCTGCCCTATGACCCCAGGAGTCCACAAAGCCAAATTAGTGAGCAGCGGCAAGTGACCAGCTGTGACCTGGGCTGTGTATTGCACATCCCACAGCAGCCCCGGGGCACAGCTCTCCTCCCCAGAGCTGCTGGCTGCACTGACTTTGGCACATCTGAACACCAGGGTGTTTCACAGCTGTTCCTTTAGGGCAAGTTCTGGTTGGGCTGTATTAAAACAGAGGGCAAAAATAAGATTCTGAGGACATGTTTAATACACAAAAGTTATAGACACTCAGGTCTAGAAAAAAAATGTTTGATATGAGTTGCAGAAAAATATTAACTAGGTATTACTTGAAATGATGAATTCTGGCCCATTCCCATCCGAACAGCTGGCAAACATCCTGTTACAAGCAGGTTGGGTTTGGAGGGTTAGGAGTGTTAAGATTTCTTGATCAAGATACTTTGTTATAATTACAGACTATTAAGACTTTTAATTGGCTTATTAAGACTTTTGCTTGTTGTCTGCATGAACTACGTCAAATAGTACTAAATTTAATATAAAATAATGGCACTAGAGGCAAAAAAAAAGTCATCAAATACATTAATAAAGCTTTTTGAAAATTCAGGCTATCATTTAAGCGATTAAAGACATTTGTGCACAGCATCCTTGCTTATTCAGATGGTTGATTGCTACATGATCACGATTTCTTTTGTTTTGCTCATTCAACATATGTTCCATGCCTTGTAAACTGCATACCTGTAAGTAGCATGCTTTCTTGTTTAGATTAGTGAGATTTGTACATCCTGTGCTCTTTTTCTGAACAGATTTGCCTGGAATGTTTTCAGGCTGACATTAACAAGATACAGCAACATGCAATAGAGATGTGCTCTAGTGCTCAGAATCATCTGTGAGCTTAAATGTGTGCATGTCTGGATTGAGATTTTTCATTTAATATTGGCCCACCCATATCTATGATGTTAGTGATGGTCAGTGATTTTTTACTAAAAATTTTTGAACATTTTCCCTCAATGTTTCCTGTGCCAAAGAAAGTAAATCTGTTGCCTTGGAATACAGAGGGGGAAACATGATTCAGCAGTTCCTAAATTATAATGTTTCAAGTATATTGCAGTGCTTGGGGGTTCCTGGCATGCACAGCTACCGGATAGAATCAGATAATTTAGAGTTAAATATTTCCTCAATCTGATAAAAAATACTTCACTTTATATGCTCAGCAAAATCAAGAGAAACCATTTGCACCATTGGCAGTAAAATTTATTCTTATCTATAACATTCCAGGAAAAAAAGAAAATTAAAAATCTGAATAAGATTGGATTTAATCACAAAACCTTTGAGGCAAAGACTGCCTTTCTTCACAGTACCCAAGAACAAACTGAACCCAAGTCATGGCTCCAGCTTTTAGGAACTGGCAGAGAGGAATAAGACAGCAATATCTGTTACTTGATGTCCTGTGGTGTCTTTGCTGACACCTTGAATATGGACTGCTTGAACCCTCTTGAAGAGGTGAAACACCAAGATTTCTGTTTTCACTGGCCTATCATGCATGTAATTTGATATTTTTAAGACTCTTTGCAGTTTGTCACCACATAAATACAGAAAATGTCACCTATTTTAAAAGGCTGCATTTAACATGCAGAGAAACTGCATTCAAATGCAAGTAAGATTGTGACAAGCCATAAAATGTGTAAAATTACAAATAATGCAAAATTAGTGCATGAAACCTTTGCCTCCTTCCCATCAAACACAGCAGTACAGAGCTGGTGGCAGGCTGAACAATTGGTAGTTTGCTATGCCATCAGTAAAGACAGAAAGAGAGAGTAAAAGGAAACCTTTTATGGAAAATTATCTTAAATTTTTATTATAATACAGTGCAAGCATCAAGTTTAGTCTTAGCAGCATGTCTCCACTCATGTTGTGAATGTAATTGTAACAAAGGGAATCTGAAAAGTCTTACTAGTAAGAATAAAGCTTACTTTTACACAGATCATTCTGCCCACAGGGGTTCTGGTCACCAGCAAACAGTTGCCAGGACCTTGTCTTCAGACCTCAAGTGTCCAGTCCTGGTGCCTGACTGTCCCTATCTGCCCAGAGCCCAGACAGAAGCATGCTGGCAGCTCAGCACCAATGAACAAATCATGATGTTGAAGTCACATCCTGTCCATGAATGTGAGATCTGAAATTGCTTTTACCTCTACAAAATCCTTACTTCTCATTATACCCATCTCCCAATGGCTTCTGGAAAAATATTTCAACTCCTTGGAATTTCTGCAGAAATCTTTGGTTGTTTTGGGGAACTGGGGTCAAGATGGATTCAGCTTTTGCAATCTTCTTTGTGTGGGCTGTTAAACCTGTGAAGGACACTGAAGAAGACAAAGATACACCACTGGATCAGAGAAGGCAAGTTTTCTGAGGACACTTTGTACTCAAAACTCATGGATCCTTTTCCTGATTCAAGAGTGAAATACATCTGATCCAGCTGTTTCTTCAAGAGCAGAGGGAAATTTGGGCATATTGATGTTAAAGTAAAACTCCCTCAAAAATAATCCTTTGATCTTTTTCTCTTCTGTTTTGTACAACTATTGCTCACTAAAAGCAAATGCTTCTCTCTGTCTGGCTGCAATGACTCTAAATCCTGATAAAATTCATTATGTGACAATTTTGCTTAATTTCATAAAGTATTCCACCAGATTAAAATTCTTGTTGCAGTCACAAATAAAGCAGTGTAAAGATCTGCTTAGAATTCGTGAGAGGGAAAAACATAAATTAGTAAATCATTATGCAATTATAATTTTCTGGGTCTTCCACATAATGGTACCTTCAGCAGTCTGCAACTCGGATTTAGTTGCAAGTGATTATTAAGGTTATTTTGATATTGAGTGAAAGAGTTTGATATTTTCTAAAGGTAGGAAGAGAACACTGCCCTGTAAAGCAAGTTGCACCCTCCAATCTCAGAAAGGAGTTGGACAAGAAGGGCCAAGAAGGGAGACATTAAGTTGCATGATGCAAACCTGCGTGATGTTAAGATGCAAGAGGACAGGATGCGCCACCAGACCAAACACTGACATAATGTTCCAAACTAGCCTGGAGTAGAAGAGAAAGAGTTGAGAGAAAACAGACTTTTAACAAAACAAACAAACCAAATAGAAATATGCTAGAAGAGCAAAAATGTAAACAAACAAGTCCTAAGCTAATGAGCACCCGAGAAGAAAAAGGCAAATGTGTGTGTGTCTGCACATGCACTTGGGGAGGCACCCAACCTCCTGTGCAACCAGCATCTTCCTGGGGGAAAGGAAAGCCTTTCCACTGACAAGAACATAGCTCTTCCTCCAGTGTGGCTTTTGTCATTTATTCCATTTTCTGGCTAGAAATAAATGGTTTGGCCTCAATAAACTGTCAAGAGAAGTAGCATCTGTTATGGAAGGCAAATTGGCGAGAACTACATTGAAATGGGATTTGAATAATGGTTGTTTTCCTCAAAATTTAGACTATTTCCAATTTTTTTATAACTACAGATGTAACTAAATAATTCATATAAATTCAGGGCACACACAGGTTTTATTACTGAGCTTGGACTTCAGTCATATCTGAACCTAAATTTTGATGAGAATTTGGCCTAAATAGCAGTCTCCAAAATTCTCCCCCAAACTGGTGAGGACTCAAAGTCAGAGCTTTATTTGCCTCAATTTAATATTTGTTTTTCACCCTAATATATTCTGAAGAATTGTTTCATATTTATCCTTGTATCCTTACAAAGAAAACCCTTGCACAAAGTTTAGTCCCAGATAGCAGCTTACTCTCTTGTTCTAAATTTACTTGTCACATTGCTGTAGTATTCATAGCCCTATTTCTATTCCTAATTTTCACCAGAAGTATATCAGCCAAAAATGTGATAAATACACATGCATAAACTGTATTTCTCTTGATTGTGCTGTGGAAAAGTACTTTATGCTGTAATAAAAACAAGTGTATATATAGTAGAAAGCATTAAAATGTAGGATCAGTCACTATATTCTGAAGAAGCACATTCCATTCCATCCTGTGTAGGCCTACACCTCTTCTAATAATAACCAACACATCAGGAAAAATGCTTCAGTTCTTTATATTCCTGATATTAACACATTTACTGGAACAGCATAGTGCAAACAGCACAGGCAGCAACATATATTATCTTTGTTATGCATTCTTATTAATAGAATAAAATGCTAAGTATGCATTTAATCCAAACTCCTTCAAAAGAGTTGAGAGGACACTAGGAGGAATATGTGCTCATCCCTGCACAAGTTTTGAACGCCTACTTGGATTTCTGCCTGCAAGAGAGATTGGAGCTGGGTGGTTGCCTCAGTTCCGGGGGAAGTCCAGGATGGGGGCACCAGCAGAGGGATGGGAGTTATTCACTGCCTGGGGCCAAGGTCATGTGCATGAACATGCTGAGGTTTGATTTTAGCATGTAAAATTGCCTCTGACTGATAGGGCAGTAAGAACCTCCTGCTTTGTCATTTCTGATCTAAAACTTTTTGAAAGTTGTTTGCCTTTTGGAGTAGTTGAAAACAAAGTTTTGTTCTAATTTGAACCAGAGGTACTACCAAATTTTTACTATTTTCCCCTGGAGGGATGATTCCGTTTCAGACACAGGGTAAGAACAGGGAGGGAATAGTAAGTTGCTGCCATGAATGAGCACATTAACTCCTTGTACTTTTCTGATTTTTTGTCCCTTACTGCTGTATATACTCATCTTCATCTTTTGCCTGAGCAAACCCCATATTTTAAAGAGCATTATGGCCACAGTTTATTCCAATTCCAAAGTAATGCAGATTTTACACTCAATGTTGAAAAGCACAGATTTCCATTTTGCATCGAAGTACTTTAGGGAAACAAAGCAGAAGAGTCAACAATGCCTGTGAGGGGACACTGGCCCAGCCTGGCTACAAACACTGTCATGTTCCCAGCACGTCCAACCAAGAGTGTTGCAAGCATTGCCAGCAACACAAGAGCTGGCAAACCACACTGGAACCTCACTGCAGTTCATTGACTCATAAGGCAGAGAGGAGACCGCATAAACAGCTCCTGAAAGCTGAGCCACCAGGAAAGGCAGCTTCTTCCAAGAACAGGATCTGCCACAGCAGTGCTGTTTCCTCAGGAACATGTCTAGAGCCTGAGGAAGAGAGAAAGGGCAGGCAGCTGGCACACTGCATCTCCCCAGCTTCCTCCTCGCTGGGCTTCAGGAAGAAGGAAGGTGGTACTGGCCCAACAGGGCCTCCAAGGGCCAATTTGTAAGAGCAGCACAGCCCTTAAAACAGCAAAGCTGCCAACAGGGTAGGTCATATGCAAGAGCCCCAGTGGGCACCAGGGCCTGCGGGGTCTCTGCCCCTGCCCTGCTCCAAGGCAGGGACCTTGTTAGGTGAGTCAGAGAATGGTGACACCATGAACAAAAACCATGCCAAGATATTTCAGCTCTAGTAGGGATGGGCCTGCTGCTCCTCCTCAGTAAAGGGGTTTGTGAGAGGGAGCCTCAGAGACCCTGTACAACCTTTCAGGAGCAATCCCAGTGCCCATGTGGGGAGGCAGCCCAGCTTCTCTGGGACACACAGTGCCAAGGTCCCTGGGACTGGGACTGCTAAAGAGCCTACAGCACTGTCTGCAAGCACGGGTGTTCAATGTAACAGCATCCAGGAGAAACTGCAATTTGGATAAACTAAATTATTCCTGCATTTACAGTAAAATTCACAATTATCCTTTCTTTCTCTGCCAAATTCTTCTATTTCTGAGCTACTGTGGCCCATATGAGAAGGAAGTGAAAGGATTTCTGCCTTGGAAAGAAAGTTGTCTATTTTCCCTGCCTTGTCTAGTTTTAAATTTTTAACTTACAGACCAGCTAAAACTGAAATCCAGAAGTAGGGATATGATACCTATTGACTCTATTTTCTATACTATCAAAGCAAATGTGTAAGACTGAAGTGCTTTTATGGTATCCTTGATTATTTCTAATAGTACTTGGTGGGGGGGTGACCAACAGCTCAGCTCTGGGATGAGTATATCTATTAAAAATCTGTTATATTTCAAAAGGAACAGCAGAGGTGTTATTCTCCAGCTGGAAAGTTGTATTTCTCTTGTTCAAGGATTTTTGTCTTTGTTATTGTTTCCCCTCTTGTAGATTTGCCACTGTAACACTTGGCATTCAATGAATCACATCCAGCAGGTAACTGAAAGGGCATGCCTCTATTTTGAAAGACAGTAAGCTACTTCCTTACTATCTACATGAAATTGCTAGGTATTATATTATTAAATACATTTTAAAAATGTGTGCTTAATTGCTTTATAAAAATAAAATCAGGAAAAGCATTGAAATTGGAAAATACTTTGCACCAAGCTTCTTTGCAGGTTTCTGACCTGCCAAATGCAGTTAGTTTGCTTAACTTCTGGTTTTTTTCTCTTATGATATGTGGGAAGCTATTAAATTGAAATAAGCCTCTTCAAATATAGTTTACACATTGGACCAAAGTCTAAAAATGGAAATGAGTATTTTGCTAGACATGCGATATAAATGAAATAATAACAATTAATAATAATGGAACATCAAACTTTTAATTAAGCATTCGTAAATGTTTCTGAATTTCTCCTACAAACACCTCTGTGGAAGAAAAAGACAAACTATTTGATGCAGAACTATTAAATTACAAACTACCCTAGTCTCTGATGGAAAGCAAGAGAGGGTGACTGCCCAAGTTTGCTTCTCACTGGCTCCTATATCATTGATTCATTTTGGCACTTTCTATCTAGAACACAATTAAGTTGTTCAATCTTCACCATCATGCTACCTGCTGAGCTTTGTACTGCCTGAATTGCGCTGCTTTATTTGGAAAGAATTAAAATTATCTACTAGAAAGATTGAAAATGTTTGATGCTTGAGTTTTGGAGTAAGTGGCTGCTCTAGGTCATCTGTCAAGAGTATAAAGAACCCATTACTGTTGCATGCACTGTGTATAACTCATGAAAACTAAATGTGAGGCAAAACAAGAAGTGTAGATCATGATTTTTTGCTTTTAAAGTCTGTGCTCATGTTTACACAAGTTGATCATTATCACGTCATCACCCATCTGAATCTTCTCTTAGTCCTTAGAGAGTTAAGAGAGAAATTGGTGTATGGGAGATGAGGCAGTCTTAGGTCCTCTACTTCAGAAAATCTTACAGATAACAAGGCCAGCAAGAGATTTGAGCCAGGTCTCTCCTAAACATTACTCAAAATTAGGTTACTTTCACTCTCAGCAGATGAAGTTATTGCACGGCAATAGAGGTACATAGACAGTAACAAAGAGGCACTCCTCTTACAAAGAGCAGCCCAGCTAGTGATAAAAAACACTGGGCAGCAGCTACAGCATTTGCTGCTGTCATCATTCTACTGCATGAGTTGTGGGATGGGGAGTATTTTTCAGTATGCCTGAAAAATAATTGAGAAGAACTGTGGACAGCCATGACTATGAAATTTCTAAGTAACATACACTGCGAGTATGTCCCTGGCTAGAGGTGCCACTGGCACAACCTTTTTATTTTCCACAGATAATTCCAGCAGGTGCAATGTAAAGCAACCAAAATGTGCTTTTAAATGATCATGATTAGGCGGGGAAGTCAAGCCCCAGCATTAGTGATAACAGGCAACAACCATGTGAGAATTACACTAATAGGCACTATTGTTGCAAGGCAGAGAGAGAACAGACACCAGCACTTACCAGTGCTCCCCAACTAAAACCACTGACCCAACAAAAGGCATTTCCCTTCTAAAAACCCTGACCAATTAAATCCTAAAATATCAGCAGTACAAAAACAGTACTATTAGTCTTTTGCACATACAAATACCACATATCTCCATTATAAACGCTTGTATTGATAAGCAACTTGTTTAGGCTATTTCTTAATGTTTTTAGCACAGTAATGATCATCAGGTTACTGAGGAGGGGTATGAAAGAAAGGAGAACTTTTCTAGCTCATTTACCATGAATAATGGTCAATCCTTATGAATCCTTATGATCTTTATGACCTGAGATGAGCCCAGTGTGTTAGAGCATGGTGCTAATGACACCAAGCTT